ACCCCCGCCCGCGGCCGGTTCAACCGTTTCAAGTTTCAAGTTTCACTCAGTGATTGGCCCGGCCGGGCGTGGCGCCTAATAATGTTCTACCCTACTGCCACGCCAACTTGTTGCTCCTCAAGTTTTCTTGGGGAAAAGTCCTCAATTTTTCAGTCAATAATCTCCCATGAGTTGTATTTATCCGGCGAAACATCATTAAAATAGACACTACATTTCACCCCCGTCTTTCCCTGATGAAAAGACCCACCCCACACCACCTACCCCACCCACCGAACCCACTTTACCAACCCGCCCTCGTCCCGTTAGCCAGTGTTGGTAATCACCACCCCTCCAATCGAATCAAACCACCTACCCACTAGCCCTAAGTTTGTTCCCCTCCTCTTTTCCTCCTTATTTATTATCACCTCCTTCACCGGGCCCCCCTCATCATCTCCATGTCTACCCCATGATTCTCCCACGGTACTACCACCCCACTACCCCCTCTCTATCACAGACTACCCCCTGTTTACAAGGAATTAGACCCCTCTTTGAAATTGCCCCCACCCTGACCCCCGCTCAATGTACCCCTACCCTGTTTCGCCAGCCTTGAATTTTTCTGCAATCCCACGAATTCTGTACATTTAAAATATTAACCAGTGATAAATGTGAAATAGCAACAAGATTTTGAACATTTGTATTACAATTCAATGCTATTCATGAATTTTTGGTTTTTGGGCCAGGCCCTCCGTATCTGCCTCTGCCATGGCCCACATCCTCATCTTTATTTCACGGGGGGTTGTTTGTTATCTAAAGGGTGGTATGAATAGTTTTACTTACATTATTGATAATAAATATGTATGAGTAATCGCCATATATGTACCGGAAAAAACATAACTGAAATAATTTGGTACTATGAAAGAAAGTTTCTGTGGGTGTCAGGGGCATATGGAGGGTCCAGAGGGTCGGAGCTGGTATGCAGGGGCGAAAGGGAGCAGGGGCAGGGATGCGATAATCGGATATGCAGGAAAGAAGCGAATGCAATGGCAGGCGGGGATACTGACATGAAGGGCGTGAGGAGAAGATTGAGACCGTAGATGGGGTGTTTTGTACGCAAATGCCGGATCATGTGAAGCTGCTGTGATACCATCCACCAGACGCAGGGGGTTCATCGATCCGACACGTATGCAGTAAAGGACACGGAACAACTTCTGGTCTAGTGTTGCAGCCGTAGCTATCTCTCTCAGGCTTTACACGACACGCTTTGGCGTGGAATGGATCAGTGCTTTTCAGTCATGAGTCGCCGAGATGCCCCGGGATTTCCCCGTCCCATGGTGAGAAAGAGCCCAATTCCTGCTGTCTTGGACTAACCGGAGTACAGGAGGAATGGACGGTTGGCGACGTGCAGGATTTCTTGGAGATCTGCAGGCCGAAACTGGGCAGCAAAGTTTATGATTACCAGCGGATCGTGGCCGAGAACGATGTGGATGGAGAAGTATTGCTGGACATTACTGATGAAGAGATGTCCCGATTGGGGATCAAAAGTCTGGGCCACAGGTATGCCCTCAGCTAAAGCGATGCTTTGATTCTCACTCCCCTATCTTCCTTGTGTGTTGATTTTTCCTTTTCCATGTGTGTTGAACGTTTCTTGTCTATGTGTGGTGACGTTGTCTTTCAGGATGTACATCACAAAGATGCTCCGGCTCTACTTTCCCAGTAACAAATCAAACAATGATGCTGCAGCAACCTCCAGTGTCGAGTCCAATTCCTCCTCCGCAAGTGCGTTGAGGACAACCTATGTACAACAGGCAGCTCCCCCAGTAAGCCAGTTTACTCTTTTGGAAATCCCTTTCTCTTCTTTACTTTCATTGTGAATCAGGCTGATGTGGTTGAAGAGAGATTTGTTTTCACACCGGCAACCATGTCTCAGTCAACCTCAAATTATCAAAATGCTGCTGGAGTGCAGAATTTCCCGCGTGCAGGTTCTAGTCGATTCGATGACTGCTTTGGCATTGATCTCCATGTTACAGCACATACTAGATTACAGAATTCAACGCCACGTATCCATGAAAGTCTGATTACCATCAGGTTCGTTGTTGAATGTGGAATTCTGTCTTGCTTACTTCTCTTTAGCCACAAGATTGGGAGCGGTTCGGTTGCTACTGTTTATGCAGGCATGTATGAGCAACAGCAAGTGGCTATTAAGAAACATAATTTTGAGGGTAATGGAATCGATGGGAAGGTACTTTGTTTGTCAAGTGAGAAATAATGCCTGACTTTTCTCCTTATCAGGCTTTCTCAGAGTTTGAATTGGAAGTAGGGAAAATGACAGCGGTGAAATATGACGATCGATTGCTTTAGTCACATTCTGATCAATGCTTTTAGGTTAATCATCCGTGTATTGTTCGCTGCTTTGGTATGCTTGAGCCGACACCTGGAATTGTCTTGGAGTTGGTTGAGTGTGGTTCGCTCTTTGAGATCATTCACAAGCACAAAGATGAAATGTATTCTTCCTACAATTCTAGATTCTCGTGGAAAGACAGAGTCAGATATCTGTTAGACGCTCTGTATGGACTCCGAGCGATTCACAATGCTGGAATGATTCACGGAGACTTCAAAACTTTGAATCTACTGGTCAGCAGAGAAGGTCGGCTTAAAGTAGCAGATTTCGGTCTGTCAAAAGTGTTGGATGTTTTCTCTGTTATCCCGGGCACGAAGACAATAACTGGGACTCCTCAATATATGGCGCCAGAAGTTATGCAGAGCAAACCACAAGGTTTGCGAGTGGACTTGTACTCTGTGGGAGTTGTGATGTGGGAGGTTTTGACTGGAACGATTCCCTGGAAGGACATGGATGTCGTACAAATAATTCAAAAAGTTACGCACCATGCTAATGAAGTTCAGAGACCACCACCGGGCAGGCCGCCGATTGAGCAAATGCATAGAATGAATGCTCCTTGCGGATACATCCAGCTCCTTGAGGATTGCTGGGCTCACAATCCGAATCTCCGACCCTCAGCAGATATGGTTGTTGTTCAACTTGAAGCAATTCAGCGTAACATGGTAATGGAAGTGCTTCCAGGGGACCGACGTAATGCAACTGGATCTGGTGCTGCGATGGGTCATTATCCCCTCAGCAGAGGCATGCAAGGCTTCCAAGACTATTCGACAAGAATGCAACACTATGGCGGGGCACTTGGGCCAGATGAGGATCAGTTCGGCAATAAGCGGCAGAGAATTGGTGAGATTGGATTCGACAATTCAACCGTTCCACCAAATGTGGATCCCCACCGATGGTATTCGCAAGAACATTCTGCCCGGCAAGATGAACCAGTAAGACCAAGAGGAGCTTTGAATCCTCCTGCAATCTTCCTAGCAGCGGGTGGGTTGAATGTCTTGATCGACATCATTCGTGAGGGTGACGACAATGCTAAGAACCAAGCTGCTACAGCATTGTTTGAATCTTGCGCAAACAATTCTGAAAATCAGGTTAGCTTGGCAAGAGTTGGGGGAATGGACTGTTTGTCAGATTTGTTGAAGAGGTCCGATCGACCTGATCTTCAAATCAAAGCAGCTTTTTGTATTGCTGCAGCATGCTCCTCGAATACAAGCAATAGAATTGCTGCACTCAACCTTGGCATCGTTGCACCATTGGTTGCTATGCTTAATTCGCCGCACCCACCGATGCAAGAAGGAGCAGCTCAAGCTCTGGCCAACATCGTCAAGAGAAAGGCAGAAGTGGAGGGTGTGGTTCCAGATCCTCAAGATGTCAAATGGAATAACCAGATTCTACATGAAGCACAAGAAGAGCTAAATCGATCCGGTGGTATTGAGCATTTGGTACGACTTGCACAAAAAGGAATTGCGAGGGTCAAAGCAGCGGCGGCAGCAGCTATTGCGAATGCGATGGCAGATAATCCAGACAACAGGGAAGCTTTCCAGGAGGCTGGTGGAATTGCTCCCATGTTGAAAATGCTGAAAGATGGTGACTTGCATGCTCAAGAAAACGCCACCACAGCTTTGTGGAATGCCATGGTTGACAACAAAGCTGCTACCAGAGATCTCCGAAAGTACGAGGGACTCCCCCTGCTTATCGCTCAATTGCACACTGGAACCCCGATCGGCCAAGAATTGGCCGCAGGTGCCATTTGGAAGGTGAGTCTTTTAGTGTGCAGCGTGTTTGCTTACAATCGGACAGGCATGTGCCAACGATGATTTGGAGAAAACGGAAGTCAAGGCCGCCATTCCAGGGCTGGTAAACCTCCTTCGCAATGGCAATCCAGTTGCACAAGAACAAGCAGCTGGTGCCTTGAGGAGTGCCTGTGTGAATAGTCCACAAAACAAGTTGGAACTGAATCGTGTGAATGGAATCGGTGCATTGGTGGAGGCGATAAGATACGGGTGAGTGTGCGTGCCTTGTGTCATCGTTTAGTTGATTTTCATGGGCAGGACATTGCCTGTCAAAGAGCAAGCTGGAGCTGCGCTTGCGAATGCCTGCGCGAATTGTGTTGAGAATCAATCGGCTGCACGACACGCAGGAGCCATTCAGATCTTGGTTGATCAAATCAGATCGAAGATATCGCCAGAGCTGATGGAATGCTGCATTGTCGCTGTGAGAAATCTTTGCGTCAATTCTAGGGAACATCAAGAAGAGTTACATCGGTACTTGACTTGGATAGACGTAACGAGCGTGCGGTGACATGATTGGCTCAGGTGCAACGGAATCACGCCACTGCTCGAGCTGCTTCAGGCAGACACCAAACCTCAACTACTTGAGTACGTGGCTGGAGCTCTTGCTAAGGTCTGTGCACATATGTGAAGAAGGAGAAGCTAATGTCTTTTGACAGTCTTGCACGCTGTGCGAGGACAACAAAGCGACCATCCGAGTTCAGTTCGGAATCGAGCCGCTGAAGTGGCTGCTCGAGGACGAGAAAGTGACGAAGGAGTCAAAGAGGCTAATCCAGCATATCTTGCTACTACTTGGCGAACAGTAGGAACTTGCTTTGTACATATTGTAGTTATCATATAGCTTCGGATAAGCGCGGTCAAGTCCTGGCTCTGTAATCGAGAGGCAGGCTTGGAGTCTCGAGGATGGAGGCGATCTCGTCTTCGCTGCTGAGCTCCCAGTCAAGTCCCTGCAGCAGGGGCGTCAAGACTCAGTCTTGCCTCTCTCACTCCACCGGCGTGCAGAGCAGCTGCAAGCGACGCCGAGCGAGGGAGTGAGAGTAGGCGGCAGAGGGGACTCGCTTCCTGCAGCTCGGTTGACAAGTGAGACGGGAGCCCGTATAGCTCGACCTTGAGAAGTCGACGAGCGCGTTGGGAATCTCAGCTGGAATGCTGTGGGAGCTAAGGCACTCGAGAAGGAGACGCGCGTCCTGCAAGGCTTCAGCTGGACTTGCTGCTGGTCAGGACTGACCTCCACGAGCTCCTGCCCGCCCATGAGCGTCCCGGGCACGAGAGGATGCGCCGCGTCCCCCACAAGCACCATGCGCCCCAGCACCCACGAGGGCAGGACGGCTCTGTCCTCCACCACCTTCCGCTGTGGCCGGTCTGTCGCGTTGACCTGCAGGGAGTCAGAAGGAGGTTGTGGGGACGGAGGAGGGGCAGGGGCAATGGGGAGGCAGGTGGAGGAAGGGAGACGGGAGATGGTAGGGAGGGGCCAGGAGAAGGGAGCGCGACCAGTCTGCGAAGGACTTCGTGACAGTCTTCCTTCCTCAGCCACTGGCCGAGAGCTTTCCTCGCGGTCTGACTTGATCATCGCGCGATCTTGAGGTCAAGATCATTCTCACCTCCCATTCTAGCTCGTCCTCCCCCTGCTTCTTCTTCCCCACGGCCTCGGCTCGTTCGAGCTTCTGCTCGTCGCTTCAGCAAGTTTCCTCCCCTTCTCTCTCCGACCTTCACTGCCTTGCTTAGGTCATCCTTCAACCCGTCCAGCTCCAGCGGAATTGCCTCAGCTCGTTTCTCAATGTCGAGAGGTCCTGCGGCTGCCTCAGTCCGTCCTCCTTCACCTCTCCCCAGCACCCTGGGCCCCGGCCTTCCTCAGCTCGAAGACTTTCGCCTCCGCCAGCTTCAGCTCTTCTTGTCGAGCCTGCCCAGCTTGAGCTGCTTGCGGCCACTACCGCCAGCAGACCTTCAGCTCGAGCTTGATGCCGTCGATCTCCGACCGCAGCTTGACGGCCGTTTCCTCCGCATCCTCCGCCTCTCGGATCCTCAACACCAGCGTCTTCACAAGCTCGACGAACTCCACGAATTCGAACTCTCCACTCCCGTCCTTGTCGATCTGCATGGCCTGTAAGAGGAAGCCCTTACCTCTCCCTCCTCTTGCCTCTGCGATGATCCCCTGCAGGTCCTCGTCCGACACGGCAAGTCCGCACTGCTCGATGGCAACCTTGACCTGCTCCAGCTCAGCCCCAGCTGACCACCAGCTACCTCACCTCTTGCATGTCAAGTGCACCGCTCTTGTCCGTGTCGAAGAGGTCGAAGGACTCGCGGAGGAGCATCACCTCGCTCGCAGGGATCTCGACGCTCCTGAGAGCGACGCGCGTCAAGCTGGCGATGCAGGCGGGGAAGGAGCGACCCGTCCTCGTTCAGCTGCCAGCTTGTGATCATGCTCCTCCACTCGCTCAACGCGTTCCTTCCTGACATGTCCGTCACGCCCTCACGCCACCTGCTCGCCTCCTCCTCACCTTCCATCTCCGTCGGCCTGATGATACTCCAGTTGATGATGTTGCTCGGGAGCCGGAAGACGATCGCGCAGCTCTGCTTGCCTCCGTACATGTGGATCGCGTCGTCGTAGAAGCGGAAGGCGGAGCTCTCGTCCTCAACGGCGCCACTCCATTGCTGAACGAGCGTGAGGTCAAGAGGAGGAGTAAGGTATGCTGACGGTGAAGCCATGCGTGAAGACTTGATCTCGATAGTTCTCTCCAGCTATCGCCCTCCTCACCCTTGACTTCATCCCATCCGCTCCGATCAGAACATCGCCTGACCTTGTCCGTCACCCACTCATCCCCCTCCCCTGCTACTCCACCTGCTTCCTTCACACCATTCTCACCCACGATGGCTGCTCCCCACGACACATCAACGCATTCTGTGACCTTCATTCCGTGTGAGAGGCGGGCACAAGGCCCGTGGAGCAACCTTGCAAGAGTGGGAGATGTTGAATAAGGACCTTCTTTCTTGCATCTTCTCCTTTGCCTACCGTGTGTGACTGGCAAGCAACAACTCTTCTACCTCGCACCAGCTCGCAGAAGTCCTTTGGTCGTATACAAACACAATCCCAGCGCTCCCGCCGCAGCAACCTGACGCACCCGTGAGAAGGAGCAGCAGACATACAAGAAGAGGATGATGAACCTGCCACTGAAGGCTCGAAGGTCGCGGAACCAGATGCTCCTCGCCTTCCCCCCGAAGTCCGGCCGCTGGCAGCAGATCGTCAAAGTAGAACGAAGAAGCAGAGGAAGAGGCGGCGCAAGTGGAGGAAGAGCAGGCAGAGGCAGAGGCAGAGGCAGAGGCAGAGGCAGAGGCAGAGGCAGAGGTAGAGGTAGAGGTAGAGGTAGAGGTAGAGGTAGAGGTAGAGGCAGAGGTGGAGGAGGAGCCCTGGCATCACTTTTATGCCTTTGGCGTCCAAAGAGGAGAGGCCCCACTGAGAAAGGAGCTGCACACACGAGGGCGAGAAGACAAGAGGCTCCTGCATCGCCACCTTCATCATCCCACTCCACCCTCACATCCCTGCCCTCCTCCCTCCCCTCATCCTCATCCTCATCCTCATCCTCCTCATCCTCAGCATTACCACCACCACCACCACCATCCTCCTCCT